TAGACATTTTACACACAGTTTATTTTACTTGGACAACACACTTAGCTATGGTAACGGTGCGTCCCATAGACTCGTTAAGCAGACTCAACAGGACGCACCAGCTAGCTTACAGGTGCACCAAGAGAACAAAATAACAAAGTAAATTAAAACGTATGTACAATTGGTTACTACGTGAAAATGTGGAGCCCTCAAATTGGCATTAAAAACTCGTTCTCGTACTCGATCTCGAACTCGTACTCAAATCTAAAAGCTCGCAACAAAAAAATCCCACTCAGACAACCGATAGCTCTTCGACAAATACGACTATCCCAAACAGAGCATGTCCATTCTCTTTCATCTTAGCTGTGCCTGTAATTCAAAACACATGGCCATCAGGAAGTTACGGTCTCCCTAAGCCAAGATCAGGGTGTCCTCATAAACAATGGCGAGAAGGCTTCAGGTACCAAGACTCGGAAAATCTTGAAAACACAAACTTCAACTCAAACGGGAGTCACTTCTCAGGGAAGGTGAGTCCTCATGGGATACGACAAGAATTCTGCATACACATGGATACACCTGGTGAAAAAATTCCTTGGCCGCGTGGAAAATACTGCATTTATAGGAAAGGGAAAACTTGTCCAACTGGTTTACAAGAAGGTATGACATTGCTATCGCATGGGTGTTCGTTATTTTTTAAGTAGTGGATTAGGCCTCATCCAATTTTTTTTTTCTTTGTTATCTGTAAACTAAGTTTGAATCATTTTTTTTTCTGTTCCATGCTTTTAGGTTGGATTCGATGGGACGACGAGAACACAAAAATTGACTTTCCAAATTCCCTTGGAGGAGAACTTCCAGATGGAATATACGGGGAAAATACGGTCATTTATTTTTGTTGTAGCACGTCGGGCAAAAAATCCACTTCCATTTCTTTGCCGTATGGATCTCCATTTTACTTGATTGCTTACGGCTCGCACAGATGTCAACAAGTACGATATCATAAGGTAAGTGTTGTTTCTACAACTATATTCTTATAATTTATCTCTGCAAAACCAAGGGGCTGCCCTTCCGTGACAACTAACTCTAAGATCATACCACCTTTGCTGACAAAATCGAAAAGGACCCCTCAATATAGGCGTTATCTCGCTTATATCGAACTATCTTTTAATGGAGAATGATTATGGCGAAAAAAATCCTCTCCATCAGCTTTCATTTCGAACCATTTTCAGCGCAGCTGAAGCAAATTAGAACTGAAGAAACTTGATCAGATACCCGTGATTTCATTGATCAGTTTGCATTTGCTGGGAAATGAGCGAAAGGCAGTAAACTCACGTGCTACAAAGGTACCATTTGAGAGTTCAATCTTTTACAAAGATGTCATGCAGCTTTTTCACTATGAGACCCTCAGCAAAAGGAACAACTTATAAGGAACTGCAGCACGAGTAAATGCCCGTAAACTGAAATTTAAGTAAATATTTCTGATCATGTTTACTTTGTTTTGTTCAGGTGACTTCAGAATATCTGCAATTTGATGACGAAGACCAAGAAAATTCAAATGCTTGTAGTCGTATATCTCCTTACGGACCTGCAGAAGATCCATATAACAACCGAATATACTACTGCTACTACGAACCAAGTAAGATTTAAATCCTGATTGTCACTTTGATAGTTTATAGAATTGTTCACATCATGAATATCATTTATCTTAAGAAAATCTTCAGTAATTTCCTTCGGAAGATTCTTCGGCATATTTTGATGTTGGTTTTGAAAATTGCTCGCAAGATCCCCGATGCTTAATGAAGTCAACCGTGATTTACATATTATTTCAATCAAAAAGAGATTCAAACTTTGATGCTCTTCATAATATATATTATGACCGGTATTTTTCTAGGCGGAATAATGGCGCAAAATTAAACTTTTCGTTATTTACAGCATGTGCTTTAAATTGAGCCTCAAAGACCTAGCCAAGGGTCAAAGTACACTTGATTTTAGCCAGATTCCAAACCCATGGATCTCATAGCAGTTTGCTCGAGTAATTTACTCTGTGGTTAAGAGAAAATAATTATAAACAATCTTTGGATGAGGTTTTTGTGATATCCAGAATAATCAAGGTCGAGGTAGGGGTTATCAGCCGAAGCCGAAGGCTTCGGCTGATAACCCTTACCTAGACCTTGATTATTCTGGATATCAAAGAAATCGAATCTAATAATTGTTTTAATATACATTGAACGAAAAAAAATGGAAGTCATGTTTTTGCTTCTTCACTGACGGCAAGCAACACAAAGCGCGCGAACTTGACATGATTACCCGTGACTTTGAGCGTCCTGGTCATGATAATCTGCAGAGATGACGTCACAAGCGCTGATTTCGAAAATTCACTGTACAGCTTTCGGCCAATCCGAAAAGAGATAGTGAGTTCAATGTACAATAATATAAAAAATCATTGCTGTAAAGTAAAGTTTTTAAACTTGTTGCAGTTCCCTGTGATGTTGCCACTGACATCGCCTGTCCCAGCCAAGCTCCGCCCATGAAGAAAATGAATGACAAGGTAAGCTCTGTATAGTAACAGGACGTTCTAGACGGCACACCGTGCAAAACCGTTATTTCCTTTGTGCGAACTAAAAGCATCATACATAGCTTGATAGGCTCGATTTCCGCCGTCCTCTCGGGTCCGGGCGTCCCTAACAGAGGTTGGTGATCGAGCCTTAGGACAGCAGATCAATGCACTATAGTAGCTATATTTCATATCTGGAGAAAGACTAGTTACTTACTAGTGCTAGTGGGGATATCGGCGCGGAGGAATTGAAGGTTTTTGATCTTTAGGAAAGCAGTATAGTCATCAAGAATAGAAAACTGGATAACGTTTGTGTTGTATTATTTTTTCAGGTTGTGACAGAGAAAGCTACCAGAGCCTCAAAGTTTGCTACGGGGGGTGGAGTTGGAATGATTATCATGGGCTCTGCATCAGTGGCGGTATTTGCAAAGAGATTTCTCACGAGAGGAAGAGCGAGTTAGAAATGGATCTGAAAAACAACAACAAAACATTGTAGCAACGGTTTACTAGCTACTAACTGCGAGGGTTTAAGTACTGAAAACGGTTTTACGGATCAGAGAAACCTTCGCGTCCATGCTGCATTTGTACCTTTGGTAGGTTTTTAGGAAGTTTTATTGACTTTTTGTTAAAAGAAAAGGTAATCCGGCTGCCTTCTCAGTCTGTTACAAGGAATCGTAATGATCTTACAGACTGTACGGAAAATCAACTTTTCTTTTGCATACAGATTTTTTAAGAATAAGATAGAGAAATTAGGAAGTGGATTCTATAAGTGGTCAGTATCAGAAACGGAAATGAATATCGCAACAAGGGCCAGAAAGAAAACACGTCAATTTCCATGCAATGATAACCAGTTTAGTAATTCTAAAATCTGGGAAGGAGAAGACTACTATTTTCCTCTGCTGCACACCAAAAGTGACGAGGTCACTTTTCCCGTGGAAAGCAAAGGAAATAGACGTGTGCACGCAAGCTACTGTAAGCGGAAAAATGAAAAGACAGCTCGGAGTGAAATAATCCGTCCATCCAGTTCAGAGTAAAATCAAAAGGGAAGTATTTTTTGTACCTTTACTCTTCAAACTCAAAAGTTACAAACACGTTCATAAATACTTGTGACTATTAATTGGTAGGCTCGTTGCTATTGTAATTTTTGTGTGTAAATACGTGATTGCACTGATAACAATAAACATCATTTTGCAATGATTTCACGTAGCCGTCCCTTTTTTGTCCTTGATCGTCCGAAAGACCCCTTTCTACAAACAATACTACTTACACAGCCTGCGAACGCAGACGCATTTGCGGCTGTCGATTTTTCGGCGGGGACAAGCGACAGCCAGAAATGCGTCGGCGTTCGCACTTACACTGAATATCAGGGAAACGATAAATATCGATGCAAGGCTATCAGAGCCTGACCGAATGTCTAAACAGTTTCCATTTCAATCATAAAACTAATATTAAAATAAAACCATTTTCTAACCATTCGTGTCTTACATGTACAAGTTACTAGTAGTGATAAGACTAAAAGTTGCGTTCCAATTATTATTTATTTTTTTTAAGAAAAAAAAAAAAAAGTGACCTGGACTCCGACTTTGTCTGGACCAGCCACTATTATTTACAACATCACTTCTCTTAAATGATGAGTATTAAAAACTCCGTTGGTGACAATTCAATTGAAAGTTATTGACCAGTATTTAATTTTATGAGTTTGTGTCCTTTGTTTGTTGCTTTGCAATATCTTGCCAGAAAAAAATATTGACATTAATTTCAATCCGTTTTTCTTCAGTGCAAATATTTTTGTATGCAACGTAACCCAGCAAAGGAACACGCGAAAGTGTCCATTTGTAACAATCTTAAAAAAAAACAATAATAATAACTTAAGTCTATCAAAAAGTTAATGAGCGCGGCTTCTTAAAAGAGTAACTGTGCTTCATTTTTGCTTATGCGCTCCCGTACGCGCCTTTTGCCAATGATTTTTTTCTTGCTATCTGCGTCCAGAAGCAAATTTCTGGGAAAAACTCGTTACTGTTTGTCCTGGCTCAATTGCAATGTACCAAGAGACAGTCACCCCAAGTGATTCCATTCCAATGATGAATCACTCAAAGGAAGGCGAGAAAACCCTGGACATCCAATTAATGGCTTTCAAAGTCAACTCGTAACCCCAGAACAGTGCAGCACTCTCGGGGGCAGCCTTCAACAACACTGGAACGAAGCCTTTATATAAAGCCAAGGCGCCCTCTTTACGCAGTAATTCTCGTAACGCATCCCTGACTCCACGTGGATATTTTCCTTCTGGAGCGGTCCAGATACGACTCGTCAACACGTCAGCCGGAAGGCCAACTAACCACCATACCATCCCTGCAATGCCCCCAGCAAAGAGCACCTCTACGGACCCTACATCATCGCGTGAAGTGCCGGCTGGTATAAGGGCCCTTACCAGGTACTCGTAAGACACAAAATAGCACCCTGTTGCCGGTGCAGTTAAGAGGTTCGCAGACAGACCTTTATATAGCCCTTGTATACCCCTTGTTTTAAGAATGTGAAGAGCTAGTGTGAACGGACCCATATATTTTGCGTTCACACTGGAAATTTGCTGCACTTGAAGTTTACATTTTACATGGTAGAAGGGAACAAATACCGCAGCTACACATGAACCAGAAAATAAACCAGCTTTGAAAATCTCCATCGAACTCAGTTTATCAAAGTTTTGATCTTTACTTTGAAGCTTCAGTCCCACTCCGTAGCCCCAAAACAGCAAACTTGAGCATGGCACAGACATAAGCAAGTGTGGGGTCAGTCCCTTGAACAAAGCGGATCCACCTTCTTTCCTCACAGTTTGCATAATGCAATCGATTGTGCCACGGAATTTCGTCCTCTGGGAAAGAGCTTCAGCGGCCTGAAGACGAACTTTGATGGTGTCTAGTGGGTGTCCCACTATCACCGATATCAGGCCCCCTACTGTCCCCGCTATGGAGTAGCTGATTGGTGAATGGATAACTGCGTGTTTTTTAGCACTTTTATCTTCCATATTGACAAAGTCAAGCACGTGTTGAAATGTCAAGCAGACGAAGTGGTATTGACACTGATTAATCGGAGAATGCTGTGTCTGCTGGGGATGATAATTGACTGCTGTCCTCCTGCCTGTAAGTGAAATAAAACAGAATGAAGCATTATTGATTGACAAAATTGATTTTCCACTACAAAAGAAACGTTCGTTACTCTCCAAGGGTGTGCAAAAAATGAAAAATTCCCTAAATACACAAGTCTGAGAGATCAAGCAACCCAACATCTCTATTGATTTTGATAATTTTCCTAGAATAATAATAATAATAATAATAATAATAACAATAACAATAACAATAACAATAACAATAACGATAACGATAACGATAACGATAACGATAACAGTAACAGTAACAGCAACAGTAATAGTAATAAATAATGGTGTCTTTTGTTTTCGGAAATTGTTATTATCTTTACTATAGCTTAACGCAAACATTTAGCAGTTTTGCAATGCTTCCATGTATAATAATAATGGAACATATAACCCAGAAGAATTCGTACAAAATGGTACCATTAAAGACAGATACTCTTACTGCCGAAGGTAATTTTCTGAGGTTGTAACCAACACCTGTGGAAAATCACTCTTCTAAATTACAATCATATAATGTCTTGTATTCCTTGAATTGTTTCACAGCCAAACAGTGAAATTCCATACTTTCAACTGTACAGGCTAGTTTTACAACTGTACCTGTTAGAATCTGACCTTTGCTGTGGACAGTTTTTCTGTGCATCACTAACACAACAGATTAAACAAAGCTAAATTATTTTGTTTTTACAGCTGTATTCTGTAAAATGTTTGGAAATATTTAATATAGATTAAGTTTTTCTTCATGTGTTCTTTCATTTGTTCTAATCACATTTTCCTTTATCCATTTGTTCAAATCACAGTTTCCTTGCCATTGCATTTCAACCTTTTAACTCATCACTGACAACTCTTAGAATTGGTGGCCCCTTTGAAATTATAATAATTATAATTTCAAATTTGCTAATAGCTACAAATAGTAAAACCCTAAGCTCTAACAGTTAAATAAATAAATAGAATAAATAAATCACTTTATTTAAGTGCCAAGGTGTCTAACTGTGTGAACACTGCAACAGGCAAGCAAATATTGTAAATTGAACAGAAACTTGATAAAAATCTCACTGGAAAGACTGGGTGACCAGTTGGCTATTTAGAGAGCATGGAGGAGTTGAATCTGGGACCCCAGAACACAAATTCTTCCAGTGGCAGGGAGGAAAACTTTAAGGTGGCCCGATAGGGAAAAAAAGTAAAAAAATTCATATTTTTGGAAAAAGCAATTTTAACATGTTTAGTTAGTGTACTTTGAAGGAAAGTTAGTTTTTTGCTGTATACCCTTCGATTAAATCAAGAAATTTTAACATTTCCGAAGCGTTGCAAATGGTTGCTATGGAAACCAGCATTGTTTACGCGTCGTTTTTGGTCAAAAGAATCGGTATTTATTGTCAGATTTTCTCCCAAATCGAGAACGAGTGATCTGAAAGCCTGTAGGAGCCTGGTGACTAGTTTGAGCTCAAAGGGGCACAGTAGCTGATGGTTATATGACGTGTTTTCTGAGACGAAAGTGAAACGTGGTTGTGATCGGTTCGTAGAAGATTGTTTGGTCAGAAATTTCGAAGAATATGCCTCCCAAAAAAAAATTTCGAAGTATCCCAAGGAAGAAAAAGAAATTTAAGGGGAATCAGTACCAAAAGAAAGCAGAGAAGATAGAAACCGAACGCTCAAAAAAGGAGGCTTCACCCGAACTGAGCGAAGACTTGAGTAGTGACGAGGAGCACATGGAAACTGAGGAAGCAGCAAGTTTCAAGAGTTTACCAGCTTCTGTCCGTAAGATAAAGGCAGCATCAAGTGATTCTTCAAGAGAAGAGAGCAGTGAAGATGAACTGAAACACGTAAATGGATTTCGGTTCATCGATATCGCCATTCTTGCCGCTGTGTTCGAGTCGTTGTTGTGCCCTTTGTGTAAACAAGGACATGTTGTTTTCGACGAGGACAAGGAATCAAAGATGGGCCTTGCCTCCCTTCTAATTTTGAAGTGTACAACTCGAAAGTGCTCGTTTCATAAGTCATTTTACACTTCTTCCAAGGCCAACAACAGCAAAGCGTTCGAAGTGAACAGGAGGGCTGTTTTAGCGACCAGAAACATTGGCGTCGGTCATCAAGGTCTCGTGAAATTTGCATGCGTGATGAACATGTTGCCGCCAATGAACGAAAATGCATATAGGGATCATGTCCAAGCCGTGCGTGATGCAGCTGAACGTACTGCTAAAGAAAGCATGTCAAGAGCTGCAGATAAAGTAAAAGAATTTTACGAGCCTGACGAGGGAGGAACTTTCAATATTGCAGTATCAGGAGATGGAACCTGGAGAAAGAGAGGCTTTTCTTCATCTTTTGGAGTGGTTACTGTGCTCTCCACTATCACTGGAAAGGCGTTGGACTGTGAAATTATGTCGAAGGAATGTGGTGAGTGCAAATTGAAAAGGGGAAAAGAAGGAACTGAGGAGTTTGATGAGTGGTGGGAACAACACCAACACAAATGCCAAGCAAACTTTGCTGGTTCTTCTGGCTCTATGGATTCTGCAGGTATGCTGGCAATATTCCAAAGATCAGTTGCACAGCACAATACCAGGTATGTGGAATTTCTCGGTGATGGGGACAGTAAAGCCCATAACCTTCTTGTCCAGGAAAATGTCTATGGTGATGTAGACATTTCAAAACTTGAATGCGTTGGCCATGTGCAGAAACGCCTTGGCTCAAGGCTTCGGTCACTGAAAAAACGGCAAGGAACAACTCATTTAGCAGATGGAAAAGGGATTGGTGGAAAAGGGCGGCTAACGGATAAGAGAATTGATAAACTGCAAGTTTATTATGGCAAGGCTATAAGGCAAAATACCCATGAGATTGATTGTATGCAAAATGCTGTCATGGCCATTTGGCATCATTCAAAATCAACGGATGAAGAACCCGATCATGATCTCTGTCCTCCTGGTGAGGAATCTTGGTGCGGCTTTCAACGAGACATTTCAAAGGGAACGGCAGATTATGTCCATGAATCACCCATTCCAGAAGCTGTTGCTGATGCAATTTATCCAACATTTGAAGCACTGTCTGACAAAAGTTTACTTTCAAGATGCCTTCATGGTGGCACCCAAAATCAAAACGAGGCCATCAATGCGCTCATTTGGCAAAGGGCAACCAAGGAAACACATGCCAGTACACCAACTGTAGAGCTGGCAACCTTCCTAGCAGTTGGCCACTTCAATGATGGCTCACAAACACTCCTGACCACTTTAGAAGCCCTCGGAATTGATCCAGGTTATCACTGTAGGAAAGCCTGTATGAAGCTTGACCATGACAGAATTCGCCATTCGCGTCGTAAAAGCGGAGAAACATCCAAGAAAAGGCGCAGACAACTCCGAAATTACAAGAAAGGCTTCACTGAGACATTAGAGGCAAGAGAAGGTCCTTCATATGGACCAGGAGCCTTCTGAT